GGGGTGGGGGGTGACGTGGTGACACACTGACGTGGTGATGTGCTGACATCTGAAAGGGCTGCATGGGTTGAATTCAGCTCCAGATGTATGAGCCGGTATTTAATGCACTTATCCCCGCAGCTTTGCAATTCAGGTCAAGTCAGTAATTGCACAAGAGCTGAGGATAATGGTAGCTTTCGGTCTTAATTTAATGAAGATTGTTTTGTAATTTTTAAGTACTGACAAGTGCTATCCAGATGCAGCCCTCAAAGCGTGTATTTGAGACTGCTGGAAACAAGCCGGTGTCCAGCACACCGAGATGGGGGTTTGTGTGCAGTCCCAGTGGAGCATCAGGAAGAGCTGTGTGCGTGGAGATGAATGGCTCTGGGCGTTAATTACTGGGAAACGTGGCTTGAGAGCTGGGGAAGGGGGAGGCATCACAACATAGGATGAAAAACCTTGTGCAATCGGGGCGAGAGTGTGCTTCTCCATACTTACAAATTACAGAAGATCGGCCCCATTAATAATGATTAGAAAAATACTAAAGTAGTAAAATACTTTCATCCATGTGACAGCTAGCATTAAAATCTAGTTCTTGTGCTTCCTGAGTAGAGAACTCCTGATTACAATCATCAGTTAGAAAATGAGTAGGTTTTATCCAATCTTCTAAGTATAAAAATAGGAGAAATATCTTCTGAGTGCAGCTATAAATTAATCAATCCTTCTCCAAGCAACGCAAAGGCAAAAAGAGCAAAGAGCTCCTTTGCTTAAGGATTGTGGCATTTTCCTTAGTTGTGCTATGCCTCTCATATTAACTTGCAGGAATAGTGTCGGTGCTGTGCACGGATTGATGAGTGGCACTGCGGAGTGCTGAGCACAGAGGAAGGGGCAGGAGGGTGCTGGGCAGTGTGGCACAGCTGTGGGGCAGCTGCATGTGAAAGCAAGCTCTGCTCACACTCATCATGGCGTTCTCTGGTTTGCTGAGTGCTCTTTGAACTCTTTGAAAGGGGAGATAACAGCAGGACAAGGTTTTAATTTGAAGGAGGGAAGATTGAGGTTGGATGTCAGGGGGAAGTTCTTTGCTATGAGAGTGTTGAGGTGCTGGAACAGCTGCTCAGAGAGGCTGTGGATGTCCCATCCATCCCTGGAGGTGTTCAAGGCCAGGTTGGATGGGGCCCTGGGCAGCTTGGGCTGCTATGAAATGTGGAGGTTGGTGGCCCTGCATGTGGGGGGGGGTTGGATCTTTGTGATCCTTGGGGTCCCTTCCAACATGGGCCACTCTGTGATTGTGAGCACTCGCACTTCTCTGAAAGGCTCCCAAGGGCAAACATTCCACAATGCAAACCCAGTCGCCATTTCGTAACGCTCATCTTGGCGGCTCTGGCTGTAGGCTGTGCATGCAGGGCAGAAGCTCTGCAGCAGTGCCTGCTCTGTGCGTGGGGATGTGCAGCCATGCTGCCTACCAGCTGCTCCAGAGTTGTGCGTGCATTTGAGAAAGAAGTGAGCGGTGCACAGAAAGAGGCGCAGTTGGTTGCATTAGAAACCATTTCTGAGGTGTATCACTGGATTGCTTCTTCCATGGAGTCAGTACACGCTTCATTCTTCACACACGGTGCGTGTACCAGGCTATGTAATGTAAAGGCTATCCTCTGCAAATGGTTTCAGCCACATTCTGCAACGTGTTCAAATCACTTCTTGCACAGCGAGGGAATTCGAGTGGGTTCTGACATAGAGAAGGGGTTGCTTTGGGCACTGAAGGATTGTATGAGGAAGACCCCGTTCCCAAATTACACCATTTGAATCCCATCTCTGGTTGGACCCAGTGTGCTTACACACCTGACCTGCTCAATGCATTTGTAGAGATTCCTTTGAGGGAATTTTTCTTCAAATGTGAAAATGTTCCTCAACAGCTGAAAATCAGCTCTGTCTGTTGCTTGGCTTTCACGTTTCACACAGCAATTGTGTGCGGTGTTCTTCTTGTTAATTAGTGCTACACAGAGCTTTAGCAGGTGTTTGCGTCTATCTGTGACACCTGTTCCCTGCAGGAGCACAGGCGTTAACGGACGATGCTCCTCAGTTGTTTTAGAAGGCTGTTGGACCAGGGAGGAATCCCACTGCCATCTCCATCAGCACCGCAACCATCAATGCCTGCAGCCTTTCAAGGCAGGGCACGTTGCTCCCACAGCTGGGGGGGCTGCCCTCTGTGGGGGGGGGATCACACATTCAGCACATTTGTGGCTGTGTGTATGTGCACCAGCGAGGCAGCAACGTGGAGCCGCCCCTCCAGGAGCACTGATGTAGAAGTGATGCTCCCAGTTGCTGCAGAAACACAATGCAGAGGTTCCACGGAGCACCCGAGCTCCCCAGCTTCCCCTGGCCTGCTGCTCACTGTGATCCGTTTGGCACAAAGCAGCTCCTGGCACTCTGAGCACATCCAGATCCCTCAGATCCCTGCTGGGATTCACAGCCTTCCGTGGAGCCCTCCGCCCTCAGAGGGACGCTTCCCTCTGCCACCCCCATTCATGTCTTACACATCACACACGGCTTCCATCTGAGCTGCCTGTCTATTCAGATTCCACGATGAGACCCTTAATTAAATGACTGAATAGTTATTTTTGCGATCATTTGTGAAGAATTTCAGCCCGACGCTTCTGGTTTCTTATTTCTAATGTGAATGTCACTTTTCCCATTAAACAATGCTGCCATATGCATACTCTACTAAATCACCATTTTCCCCTACCTAACAGTTTCCATAGTTGCACTATTTAAATGCTTTATCAAAGAGATTTACCGCATTATCTCCTTCTGTTGGATTTCCTTCATGTGAAAAATCTCTTTATCAAATAAAAATGTCCCATTAGTCTATTGCACTTTGAATTATGTTCCTTAAACTTTTAAAGTCATTTTAAAGCCTTAAGTTCTATTGTGCTCCCAGTGGTTAGCCTAAAATTTGCCTGATTCGCTTTCCTCATTTCCTTAAGTACAGATAATACAGTTATTATTTTCCAGCCACAAAGTACTGCTTTCTCTTTTTCTCCTCCACCAAACCCCCCACGCTGCTGGATTTGTGGCTTTTCACTCTCAGACCATTCCAGCTCTCTCTGCTGTCGTCTCCCTTTTCTGCTCTGCCTTTTCTGTATGTTTGATGTCACCTGTATGGAAAATGGGGAGCAGATCTCATCTAGGATTTGAGCCGCTCCTCCCAGCCTTGTGTTCCCTACCTGAGCTGTCGCTGTTCTCTTCTGCTCAGGTCTCATCTCCTCTCTCCTGTCCTCTTCTTAAGACCAACGTTTCCGTGGCCAGGAACTGTTCTTGTGTGTGTTTTCCTTCCTGTGTGAAGCATCTTTGAACATCATACAGCCATGCTGTGCTGGTGTTCCCCAGTTTTCTTCGCATTGTTGTGTTTGGTTTCTCACCTGCTGCTCCTTCAGGATTTCAGTTGCTGCTCACAGAAGTCATCCTTCTGGCTGAAGGTCAGGAACGCATCTCTAGTTTAGAAGATTTTCACTGATCCCTTGTTGCTGCCACACGGAACATAGGTTGTATGCCAGGATCTCAGGCTGGATATTAGGAGAAATTTCTCGTCCCTAAGAGCACTCAGCACCAACACAGGCTTTCCAGGGGGTGGGGATCACCGTCCCTGGGGTGTTCCAGAACCACGGGGATGTGGCATGGAGGGATGTGGGCAGAGGGCATGGGGGGAGCACTGGAGTGGGGTCAGGGTTTTGAGAGGGCTTCTCCAACCTCAGTAATTCTGTGATTCTATGATAGTGACTCTGTCCAAGCAGTGGATAAGCAACAGCCACAACGTGCATGGGGCTGAGGAATAGCCATCAGTGCCCTTCTTGTCCCCTGCTCTCCCACCTGTCCCTGAGATCCCTAATTTCAAACAGAAGAGCCCAAAACTGTTGGGCTCCATATCACTGCACTGCCACAGCTCGCAGCAGCACACCTCAGCCCTACGCCCAGGTGTGAGCTTTCCTTCCTGCATCCTTGGGCTCAGTGGTTGAACTCAGGTGCTGGGACCTGCTGCCACAGTTCTTCAGTGGCTCCTTCCTGCACAGAGCCAAAGGAGCTGCCAGATTGCGGCGCTGCCCTTGGGACTGGTCAGTGACATTCAGGGGCATCACTGAAAGAGCATTTCTGCTCACCCAGGTGTGCAGGTGAGCGATGTGAGATGATATGGAGGTATGATCTATTTTGGAGAAAATTACAAACATTTTCTAACGCGGAGCACAAAATACTGATAACAGCAGTGCCTAATTGCCTTGGTGGAAGGTTATGCTGCCGTTACACCCAGCTTGTTGGGTTGGTGGATTTTCTTGCTTGCGTATCTATAGAAAAGATTTTCAATTAATACTGACCTTTAATACTCCAACTGGTTTTTGATTCTGGAGATGGTAGAGCAGACTGCAGATGAGTTTTCCCAGCACACCTCGTTCTCTATGTTTTCCAGCTGATTGCTTTTGGGCAGCTGGCTGTACCTGTGCCAGTGCTGTGTTCAGACCCCGGTGTATTGGGCAGGAGTGCTGCCTCACTCCTCAGGCAGGTGTATTTTCTGTCTCTGGCTGCACTTTTCACTCGCTGGGAAAAAAAGTCCTTATGGAGGAATATTCATCAGCTATAATTTAGAAAAAGAGGAATCTGTCTGGGGTGCATGTGGTTGTAGGGCGCTGGTATCGCTGGCCCTGATCAGAGGGACTTTGCCCTGAAAAGCAGCCTTGGTGGTAACTATTCTTATGAGTGATTATTGCACAAAACCCCAGGTAAGGCACTGTAAACAAATCACACCTACTTGTGCCAGTACCACGCCACTAAAGTTCTAAATAGATTTCATGGAACTATGCTCTGTTTTCATGTGCTCATGGTTTTACATCGGTTTGTGAATCAATGAATGCCCCGTATGTTTTGAGGTTCAACTCTAAGACAGTGCAGCTGTTTGCAATCTAAAAATCGATAGCAGGCTAATGGTATTCAGGAAGTCTGAGTTTTCACACCTACGGTTTCCCTTTTCCCCCCAGGTGTTACTTGGAAGATGGAGCTTCCAAAGGCGCGTGGCTGAACCGCTCGAGCATTATTTTTGCTGGCAGTGACAAATGGTCGGTGGACCCTCGAGTTTCCATCGCGACAGCAAACAGGAGAGAGTACAGCCTGCAGATCCAGGACGTGGACGTGACAGATGACGGTCCCTACACCTGTTCTGTGCAAACCCAGCACACTCCCAGAACGATGCAGGTGCACCTAACTGTGCAAGGTATGTGTTTAAGCTAATTGCAAGTTGGCATTGGGGGCGGGCTGTAAAAGCAGCACAGTTCAGTAACAAACACCAAACTGAAGAAGTAAAGACAAAGGGAGGCTGATCTTGCTGTACCAAACCGTAGCTTTCGTCTCATCCACACCACAGCTTCCTCATGGAAGGACTGCCTGTCGTTAATTAGAAAAGTCCATTTATTTTCACGAGATGGTTTTCTGTTTCGAGCTGGGCTGCCAGCTTTACGCGTGGAGGTAATATTGATTGTGTTGTTCTGGGGAGAGCAATCCTTCGTTCTGATTGTCTGCATGATAGTTAATGCCCTCGCACGAGGGGCTAAGAAAATAGTTGGAAATTAATTGCATTTATAAAACATATAAACAGGAGCTTAAAATTAATTAGGCTAACTGCAGGAATATAGAGAAATAATAACTCAATAGTTAAAATATGCATAATTATTAAGCGATTGCATTTATATCTTCAGAAATGCAAAGTATAACCTAAGGCTTTAATTTATTAGTCTTTGGTGTAATCATCATTAACATTTTCTTTTGCATTTTTATGAGTGATAAAGCAATGAATATAAAACAGAGGAATTGAAATGGCAATCTCTATTAATCCATATGGCACACACACAAATGATGGGTACCTAATGCTTCTCTAACTAATTGCTCTTAACCGCCGGACCTCCGGAGCGGGGTGCTGTGTGTGTCGGCTGGACTTTGTTGGCTCTGAGGGCATTTGGTGCATGAAAAATCTCAGTGCCACCAGAAAGCCATCGCTGTGTGGTCCCCACAGAGCTCCCCAGAGACTTCTGAGTGTGCAGAGCTGTGTGTGCGCTGCTCCTGGGGGCTGGGGGGCATTGGCACACAGCTGGGCTGGGAGGCTGAAGGGAAGAAGCAGCAACAGCATCAGTTATTGTTTTGGTTGTATATATACTGCATTTCTCCAAGATTATTTGTTTTCTGTGGTCATTTGGGCTACTTTTTTCTATCTTAGCTCCTATTTTGAGGTACCAAACAGTATGAACAGTTATCAGCTGTGCAGGGAGGGTCTTGCTGTGCACACCTGGCACACATGGGAAGGATCTCTCTGTGGGTCATTCACAGGCTGAGCACGGGGCTGCCCAGCTCGAGCCCTTCCCCTCTTGCTGCTCTATGCCCATGCCTCACCGCCATGTGCAAGGCTTGGAGGGCACAGGTGGAGGATTTATGCATCCTGAGAGAATGGAGACAGAGCTGCCTGAAAGTAACAGGCTGTAAAGGGAACATCAGCTAATTGGCACTGCAGCTTGCGCGTGCTTTCTTGCAGCATAGGGTTCACGGGGATGACATCATAACATTTCGTGGAGGTGGTTTTATGTTTCCTTTTAATACCGTTCATGAGTTTGTATTGCAAGATTAGAAGTGACTTCTGCTATTGGGGAAAAATAAATGAAGGGCAAAGCAGATCTTCAGCCAAAGTGGAATCATTCCATCAAAGGGCTGGGTTCCCATCTGTGCTGTGAATGAGTGATCGGCAGCAGCTCGGGAGCAGCAGATGAAATAGAACGAGCGAAGGAAAATGTAAAGGCAGCAGCACAGCCCTTTATCACTCCCCTGCCCTACAGACTGCGTTCCATCGAATAACACTGAAAGAAGACCTTTTCCTGCTGAAAACAACAGCAGTGGAGGAGCCAGGGGTCGTAAATTGAATGGACGATACTTAGGTCTGATCATAAGCTCTCAAATAGGTTAAACTGCAGACTATAAAATTGTTTGCTGTGAAACCCCCACTTCAAAAGCTGTGTCCATCCAACTCAGTCTCTCTCTCTCTTTTTGTTCCGTTAGATCTTTACGTGCACAGATGCAGTAGGTTTCATTTTGAATATCCTTTGCTCTGCTCCTTGGGCTGACAATTTCCAATCCCATGCATCCAAGTGTTTCAGAGAACCAATGCATTTTAGTGGGCAATCCAAAGTGCCCTGATTTCTATTAGTAAAACACAGAAAGGCAAAGAGGTCCAAGCTGCAAAATGGCCAGAACCTGGCTAAGTGTGGGCACAGCTCCTGTTTTGTCATTGGCCCCAGAGTTCAACAAGTTCATCATGCCTCCATTACTTGCCTTCTGATTTGATCTATTTTCTGGCTCATGACAGGAGCATCCCCAGGCACAGCTTTGGCTGTGTTCCCCCAAATGCTGTGCACTCACAGATTAAACCACAGATCTCGTGCATACAATACTGTGTCCTGGGACGTGTTCAATGGCTGTGGGCTGCAGGGAAGCAGCTGCTGTCCCATGCCTGCCCAGTGGGACGGGTGAGAGCGGAGCCTGATGGGGAATTCCACCTCTCCAGCCCCTGCTCAGGGCCCTAAGGAAACACTAAGTCAAGCTGTAGTCACTGTTACTGAGTGCTTGGGCAAAGTATTTTGTACCAAGAAAACAAACTGAGGTAACTGATAATAAAAGAAAAATCCTAACATGTCTTTAGCCCCCATTTACATCGGAGAAAGGAAACCCAGATGAAAGGGAGGAAGATAATCCAGTTTCCTTTACTTCAGCGATCTTGTTAAATACAAGTGAGAATTAAAAAGTAATTAAATTAAAAGTTCAGAAGGTAGGAGTTTGCAATCAGCATAATCTACATCAGAGCCAGGTGCTTGATCTGCAGAGCCGTGAGCTGCGGATCACAGAATCACAGAACGGCCAGGGTTGGAAGCCACCTCAAGGATCACGAATCTCCAGCCCCCCTGCCACATGCAGGGCTGATGTCAATCTCAGCTGTTTGCCGAATTGAAGTCAAAAAATGAAATACTTCTCATCCTTACGTATTAATTATTTAGCTACTCTGCCTGTGCACAGAGCTGACCTTTGGGGGAGGCAATGCGTGGGCCACAGTGCAGCCACCAGGAGGGCTCAGGTGGGTGGGAGATGCAAGGTGAGCCCCAGCCAGGCGCTGCTCCTGGCACCTTATGCCACCTGTGGGTATTGCCCACCATGCCCACTGCGCACACCGGGCGTGCAGATGTCTCAGCTGTCTCCCTGAGTGCCATTTACAGATTTGGTTGGAAACCACAACCTATATTTTAAATTTATGAGTGTGTAATATTTCCAAAGTAATACTCAAGGCCTTTTTTTCTGCTTAATAAACCTCTTTAATGTCCCCTAAATATTAATGTATTGATTTAGTCTTTGCAATGTTTGCAAAGTCTAATTTGTTTCTTCAGTCGGGCCAAGAGGGACTTGCGTTTGGAGTTAACGAGATAAATCTTACCCAAATTTATTTAAAGTGGGACAAAATAAATATGCAAAAGACTTCTAAACTCACATAGCAACCACTCTCCAGCTATAACTGACAACACGTTACTCTTTGAAATTGCCAGCACTCGAGCAGGATGTCAGCTCTTGGTATAAGATTAACTCATGACTGCCAACCACTGTTCATGGCTCGTCCCTGCCCAGCACACAGAGCAGAGGGGCTGGGAGAGTGGGATGGGAGAGCTGGCCCCACGTGGAGCCGAGGTCCCATGTCCCCTTGCAGGGCTGATGGCACCAAGAAGTGCAGGATGCTCCCTTTAGGGCTTGTCCTCCTCATCCATTCATTGGATTGCTTCCACACCGATAGCTGCAGGGCCTCATTCTCTGTAAGATGTCTGTGTATGGCTTTCTGCCCTCTTTAAAAGCCTTAAATCATGGCAAGTGTTTGCACTAGCAGGTGATCTCATTTACTGGGATGTAAGTCTGGAATATTTCATCTGAAATAGAACGGGGCTCTGCCGGTCTGCAACTCGTAATTCCACATGCTGGAGCTGCTTTATGGTCACGGCTGCAGCTGAATTTCCATTATGAGCCTGAAATTTCCATCTTCTGAAATCTGCAAGCAAAGGGTAATCAACACAAAGTAATCATTTGCTCTCTGGTCCAAAGTATATTAGTTCTGATACATTTGAATTAAGCTGAATGAGCTTTTTTGTGACCTGTGAGAGTCCTGCAGAAGAGCCCGAGGTGACTTTCAGCAGGTCCTTGCAGTGTGACGCAGTGCCACAAGCAGAATGGAAGGAGGGAAAGTAAGGGGGGAATGGGGCAAGGATGAGGAAAGAATGAAGCCTCTCTTAGTGCTGCCCAAAGCTTCGACCCGGTGAGCTCCCACCCCACAAACACGAGATAACAAATGCAGCCAGCTGGCAGAGCTGTGCGGCACTCCAGGTGTCAAAAGAGTGATGAACCCTTCTGAAAGAAAGCTTTAAAAAGGGGGTTTTGGAAAGAAGGCAAATTCAGAACGAGAATGTATCAAAGGTGGCTGTGGCAGCTCTCCTCGGTGGGTGTCCTCTGGGGTTTAGCAGCTTTACAGCAAATAGTGGGCAGATCCATGGCTTTGCATAAGGACATCTGAAGCGGATGATGAGAATAAAAGCTGCCTGGAAAGCTGTTTTGTGACTGGATTGCAGAGTGCCCCAGTCTGGAAGGGACCCACAAGGGCCGTGCAGTTCAACCTCTGACCCCACGCAGCAGCACCCACAGCCCAAACCTGGCTGAGAACACTTCCAAGGGCTTGGTTCCCTTTAAGCATGTGTGTCTGATGGCCATTCCTACAGCTCTGCCACCCTTGTCCAAATGCAGCCCCGTTATTACAACTAAAGGCAGCGGCTGCCCTGGCACAACTGAGCTGCTAATTATTTTGTTACTCATTACCATCACTGCAGCATTGCAAGGAGTTTTGGTAGTCTGTACCCTGAGTAAACAGTGTAATATTTTATTGAGCTCTCTGCTGCCTGTCACTGTGATCACTGTGATTACTGTGATTTACCTGATCCTTTCTTCATTGCATTTCCCGTTATTTCTGCTTCTGTAATTTCAGACTGTCACTTATCAGGAGAAAATAACGTGTCCCAAGCTTTAAACTTAAATTTTTCCTTGGAGCATTGTTAACAAAGACAGAAAGTTGAACAGATGTGGAAATTATCTCACCTGATGGAGGTTACAACTAGAATTATTTGGTTTTGTCTTGCAAAAAGCATTTCACCT